TGGACGTCAGTCACAGAAATGGATTAGTCATACAAATAACAAAATTGTGTTTCACTACAAATACTTTCACTGTATTTGGATCATGAGTTCCAGTATATATATAGACTAAAGACAACTGTATTTTGTAGGTATATCTGCCCGTCCTCTGCCACCACTGCCATCACCTCCGCACACATTATCTCCTTCGCACACATTCGCGAGCAATGAATCTCTGAATGATTACGAATGGTATCATTCGGTGGAGAGAGAGGACGCCGAGGCTCTACTCCTAACCCAAGAAGAGGACGGCGCCTATTTGGTCCGTGAATCCAAGAGGGCCGGCAAATGCAATCCATACACTCTGACCATCTTTCACAACGGAAGGGTCTTCCACCTGAACATCAGGAAAAGACCGGACGGTCTGTTCGCTTTGGGAAAGGAAAAGACTAGAGAAAAGGTATTATAGTCTTACATCCATTCCCTTCCATGAGTGCCACTCTAATTAATAGACCATTTAGTGAGAAAATGTCTCAATTGCGTCAAAACCATAATAATTAAAATAACACATTTATTTAATTAGTTGTTATTTAATACTTTAATGTATAATTTAATACTTTATTAATCCTTTCAAATGAAGTTCTAAACTATTGCAACATTAGTTTCCTAATTAATAGTTACAAAAGCATTTTAAATTTAATACTTTCCATAATGTCTCGCTTTAGTTAAGTTTTTAATTTTATTTACCGGCATATATTATAAAATTAATATACACTTTATAAAAATAACTAATTAAAACAGATTTTTATTTATGAGTCTCTCATTTAATTTAATTTATTATTTTTTAATTTTAATAGACATTCAAAACAGTTGCCGATTTGGTTTCATACCATACATCAGAACCCATACTACTTACAACACGGGGTAAATTGAATTTTAATTTTAATTATGTCTTTTTATAAAAGTTGATAATTTGATATTTTCATAATATAGGCACTCCGGCCGGAAAGACACGCCTTATTTCGACGCCTTCCTCTTCATATTAATAGTGACCAAAGAGATGATGACTGATCGGCTATTCTTGTCTTATTAGAGCTCAAAAACTAGTCAATTGCCGACTGTTTCTTAAATTGTTATTTATTTTATAATAATATTGTAATCAATTTAATATTATCTTTAATTGGAATTGTTAAAAGTATTTTCTATTCTAATCAAATAATTTTATATTATATATTAATTTAAATTAAATAAATCACTGAAAATTATATATGAAAATTAATATAATTTAAATTAAATAATAAATCATTTGATTCTGATTAGATGCTAATTTGTCTATTATATAATAAGTTAATTATGAAAGTATAAACTCATTTTATTAATTATTTATTACAATTATTAATAACTTATTAGATTTATTGTAATTTATTTATGTTAGGAATAAATATTTAATTGTGTATAACATCTCTCTAAATGTAACCATTAGTATATTAGTATACATTTATATAATTGTAATTGATATTAGTTTTATAAGATCTCATAATAACTAAAACTGATGAAAGTGTGAGGAGTGAAGCAAACGTTGAAATAGTGATGCTTTCAATGATGTCAAGTGTGTGTGGAGTGTAGTCTTTGGCGCACTTGCATTGGATTGCATTGCATTTGGAGATGAGTTATATTTCTGTGAATACTTCATACCATTCGTGACTCGTGTTGAGGACAGTCACAGATCTGGTGATAGTTGTGATTAAGTTGTTATACAATGGATTTGTTGCCGTTCAGAGGGAAGGCCTGCTGGCAGATCCAGACCGCACTAAACGGCACACTCGATGCCAATCAATCACTTAGTGTTGAGGAATGTATTAAAGCGACGATTATTTTCTTAATAACCATTGCTGTGATCGTATTGAACGCATTGATGATTGTTGTCCTCCACAGCAAAAACTATTCCCGATATTTAAGAGATTTGCCTAAAATTCTGATGACATCGCTATCGCTGACAGACCTGGCGGTCGGCACTTTAGTCACACCAATCAGTTTCATCTCAATCGTCAACCAGTGCTGGCCATGGAATCAGACCGTGTGTGCCATCGAAGCACTTCTCATCGCCGCTCTCTTTCACGAGTCGACCCTATCTTTACTCTGTATAGCAATCGACAGATATATTTGTATCGTTCATCCGCTCCGGTATCACACTTTGATGACTAAAAAGGTATTTATTTGACTATTATTTAGTTGTAATTATAGGTATAAATTTTATTTAACATGCTACATAACTTAGGGTTTTAATCATTTTTAGAGTACTGTATGGATATACTGTAATACAGTATAAGATATTATGTTTTAAAAATAGCATCCTTTATATAAGCTTATGGTCTTGTGGTCTATAATTTCAAAATTATTTTTTATTTCAGATCTTGATAAAAATTACAAACATATCTTTTGACAAACATTTTCTTGACAAATTTACTGCTAATCTGATATTAAACTAATACTAAACTATAGCTAACTTTGTTTTAAAATAAAGAATGTTTCGAAAATGTATATAAATTGATATGATCAACTTACTTTAATTTATGTTTGTAAAAATGTTTTGATTGTGTTGACTTTAATCATTACAGTGTAAGTTATTTAATGAAAATGCACACTTGTCTTAAAGAATATAATCAATGAAATTGATCTTTTATTTATTAATAGTGATTTCAATTTAATTAGTGGAATGTGTTTAAAATTATTTTAAAGGCTCACCTCTACGAATCGATATACAGTATGTGTTTCATTCAGTTCTCATAATACTCTTCTTAGCCATTAAGATTTGAAATGAACTTGATCAAATGGTTAAGTTCTAAACCCTATGCACTACAGAATATTGTAAAAATAATTTACTAGTACTAATTTATATATTGTTAATTAAATCTTTTAAAAGAATTTGTAGTGAAATAGTCATTCCAACTATTTATTTTTATATTATATTATTAATTTATAAGAAAATCTTATTGATTTAAAAATATTACTTGATAAAGTTAAGAATTACACAATATTAGTAAAGATTTGTAATACATTTGCTGATCCAAATATACCTAAAATGGTCAGGATCAATCAAGATTCTTTTCCTGTTGATTTATAAAACATTTTAGAGCATTAAAAGATTAATTCAGCAGTGGTTTAAATTTAAAAGTCAGCAAATAAAGAATTATTATTTAAAGAATAAACAAAATATAAAGAAGTTCTGAAATTACTTTTGACATTTTGCCTTGCACACATTTCTGATTGATCAGAATTTAAATATTACATATGGTATTTGAGAACTAGTAGTTCCATATAATTTGTCTATTCTAAGTGATCATAACTTATATAACTTTAATGACAGCAAAACTCATATTCTAGAAATGTCTTTATGATCCAGCTCAAATCCTAATAAGCTTGCGTTTATGCTTTTATAAAGGAAACATCTGAAAAAATAATGTTTTGTATATTATTTTAAATAAAAAATTATTATTCTATTAATAATAACTATCAATGAAGATTTATTACATGAATATAAAAACTCGACACAAATTAGTTTGAGATATAAATGATGAACATAGAAAATCTTTTAATAACATTGTTGTGAATTTGTGTAATATTTCTTTAAAATTAGAAATTTAATGCACTTTTCTAAAATATGTTGTATATTTAATAAAGTTATGAATCATTTATTGTAATATAAAATGAATTAAAGATGACATTTGCGAGTATTTTGTAAAATCGATAAATTTTTAACTCAACTATTTTTATGAATCTTAAGCAATGGTCGTACTCTTCAAATACACGAACAAATAACTGCTTTCAATGTTCTTATGACACAAAAACAATCCATAATTTCGATTATATTCTCGATTCACGACATTATCTCAAGGATTGAAAACAACTTCAAAAGCAATTGAATAGTTTATTTGATTCAATAGGTATTGTCTTTCTTT